ACATCCAGTAATACACGTAAATAAACAGCGGCTCCGCTTGACCAAACGTTTCCTGCGTTGTTCAACAGAGGAGTATTTCAAACTCTAGTGGCTGGTACCGAGTCAGTAAATTCCTGCCTTCCTTCGTGACAAGGGCTGGGGAACCTTTCAAAAAGAGACTCGCAGAGGAATGAGCTTAACTAGCTGGGGAACTGGGAGACACGGGAAAGGAGATAAAACTGCTTATTGAGATCCAAATGTCAAATGGCTATTTTGTTTTAATTGGAGCCAACGTCACCGTTAAGAAGCGATCTTAAATGCGGAAGGACTTTAACGGCCCCTGCACTGCACACTGGCTGCTCCCCTCCCCTCCATTTCTCACACTTGCTCTTGGCGTCTCTCTCACCCCGGCGTGCTGCACTCTCCCCCGACGCGCCTCCCGCCTCGCGCGCCTCCCAGCCACACCGCTTACCTGCCACCCGCTCGTCGGCCTCCCGGTTCCCGTCGTCCGAGTACCGGGCGAAGTCCAGGGAGTCCAACGTGCTGATGCTTCCCGCCCGGTCTGGAACACAAAGAGGACGGGGGCTGAGGATTCATCTTTACATCGCGCCCTTTTTCGCAACAAGGTCGCCCCAAGGCACTTCCCAAAGCTGGGTGACAATACGTGACATTGCGATACAACGTCTCCTCCTTCACAACCCACTCGGGGGGTCCCCACTTCACCCCTCCTTCCTGGTTTCCAGCACCGAAGAAGAAACGTGACAGAACATGTAAGAGGGCAGCTCTACGGGCCATACTGGGGTCCCGTTCCGCTTACGTTTGTATACTTTCACTAACCGTTCAGTTACTTACCCCTCCATACACAGACGCAGCTTGAGGGAACAGTGCCAACGGGTGTAAAATCCTACGTTCTTCACAGCCTCCTGCCATCCTTTCCCATTTCCTCGGTTAGTCTGCTCAACGCTCTTAATTGAAACCGTTAAATCTGTTTGATTGAGCCGCAGAGAGGCAGCCTTCTCCCAAGGCTAGACGCAGGCCCGTCCACAGCTAGCGGACTGTGCAAAATTAAACAATCCATCTTTCGGGCAAGGCTGACCCGATAACACGAGCTCATCACAAGCTTTTAAAGCCTGCGGGAAGGCTAAAAGTGGCTCGATCACACCAGTGAGTTACACATCATGCGAGTTACAGTTTATCAGAACTCGTTCCCGTTAATCCATGGGGCGCTCCTGTCCTAAGATGGTCACAGAACCAGAGCCAGCGAGCGGACGAGGGCGGAGAGCCGCGGCACGGCCTCTGTTTGAGAGACGGAGCGGTCGACTGCGCAAGGGGAGACATGGCTAATGCGCCCGATTATAAAGGAGAACTAAAACAATAAATGTTGTTTATTTATTGTCGGCAGTCCAGATGTAGCCTTTTGCCGCTCAGTAACCGAGTCAGTCGGAAAACACTCACTGCAGGCGGTAACCTGAGTTTCCCCAACGCGTTTTCGTTCTGATTGAGTCCCGACGAACAAAATCGACCCCAGGGGACACGATGGCCTACAATACAGACACTGCGCAACAGTCCCAAGCTTGCAGAGGACAGCAAATCACACGGGACATAATCGCACCGTGCAGGAGAGGTCGCTGCCCCGCACAAGGGACAGAACTGCAGAAGGCCTCTCTCTCCCAGGACACCTTATGGACCTGTAAGCCCCATCACAGAGCAGCCTGAGCAATGCTGAGCAAACACCCTCTCTCAAGACTCCTGTACTTAAATTCCTCTGACCTCACCAGAGCACGCAGTGTCCCGGAGGGACGGAAAAGCTCATCATTGGGCGACGCACAGAAGGATACAAACGCCTGCCAGAGTCTGACGGGAAACTCTTGAGAAAATGAGATAACATCATCCTGATTTCAACCCTGCCCCTCATCAGCTCAGCATCATATCGTATCCCTAGGTATGACTACAACTCTGGAACTCTGCTCCCTGCCTCTCCGAGAAGCACACACTCTTCCAGATTTGGAATCTAGACTTAGGATGTCTGTTTGGTCATGCTTATAAACAGTGTCTGCCTTTACTCCTTTTCCCACGTTTTTTAATCTCCTTCACTGTTTCTCGATTCCTGTTTAATGTTATTAAACATTTGGCGCATTTTTGTTTTTACCCTGTAAAGTGCCGCACAATCTATCTGGTGTACCAGGGCACCAAAACAAAATCCCTGTAATCCTCGCTCTGCACTTCAACGATGTCAGCATCATGTCTTTCACTGCATAGCCGGGCACCTGCCCTCCTTCTGCACGTGCATGTAAAAAGAGAGGCGGAAGAAACCCGTTACAGAACGTTTCATTGGCACATTTCTAAAAGAGAAAGTGTTCTTGAACAGCAGCGGAATGCCTTTTAACTCCTGCTCAGCCAAAATAATATTGCAGTCGCCGGCCGAATTGTCGGAAAGCTCAGACACCAGTGGTGTGTAAACCTCAAGGTGGCAAAGGAAAGAATCAAGGTCGCGTCTTTGCCTCGTACGAGTGAAGCCGTACGTTGAAGATGTCTTCATGAAAGGACCGCATGCATTTAAAAAAAAACTCTTACCCTGCTGCGCAACTGTCACCAAAATGTTACATTTACTACTGCCTTCTGTTTTAACCTCTTTATTAGAAACACTTTTATCGGCGATGTAAACACAGACTATTTGCTTGTGTTTCAGGACCTCAGGCTTGCTTCACACCATGGTGTGTCTTTTTGCTGTAAACTAAGAGTGCCTTTTTATATCCAGAGAAAATGAGAACTAGAGCTTTTATCCAGCACTTCCTCACACCAATCTGGGACACAGGCACACACAGTATTCATCCTCCTCTCCAGGAGCAGAAATCCCAGAGCGCAATGATGACATCCGTCATTTCTCCAGGAGGCTGACGCATCACCCTGTCGCTCCGCAGGGAAGGAGCTGATTTCTCTTCCTGTCTTCTCAGATACGAAGACACACACACACACACACAAGACACAGCAAAACATAAGCTTAAAAACACACGATATCAGTCAAGCTACTGAATTCTATTCTTATCCACCTCTGAAGCTGCTATACAGCCACAATGACAGTGCAAGTGCTGGTATAACTACTGAACATTGGATTCGATCAGCACGGACCACTATGTGCAGAAAGCCACGATGCGTTAAGAGCTCAGTGCGCGTGATTCTAGCCTCAGCGTATGCAATGTGCTTATTTCAGCTTGGCTGTTTCTCAAGGCCCAGCATGTAGCAACCAGTAGTTCAAACGAGTCCGGTGCTGAAACCAGCACCAGACGACAGAAATCGGATCAATGTTAACACAGAATTCAGGCTGGTCATTTGTGGAGAGGCAAGACTGTGTCCAATCCTAACACTATCGCCCTGGTGGGCCAGGCGGGCCTATCCTCACCACTGAAGGCAAGGCCAGCACTAGTCAGTGGGGCCCTCCGGCCAGAGACTCGCTCTGAGCCGTGAGCTCAAGAAAGGGAACGGGCTGCTTAACACACATGGTTTCTGCCTCCTAACAAACCTTCTCTGCGCCCCGAATATTCAGAGAGCCTGAATGTTTGTTTAAAAGTAAAAAAATCCCCCATTTTACAGTATGTCAAAAACGCAACAATCCAGGAAAGGAGTTAAAAAAAAAAAACAGGAAGACTGAACTAAAAGCTGCCTTCGCTGTGAGGAGACGGATGCGAGGAACGTACTTCGAGTATCAAAGGGAGCAGCGAGTTACAGCTGGGGCTCATTTCAGAAGAGTCTCTCCAGCCTTGTCAGGCTTGCTTGCCACTTCAAATGGAACAGAAGGGGAAAAAATCCTGAGGTGCTGAATATTTTACAGGAATCATCAAGTGGGAAGAAAAGCTGAGCTCAAAGGAACTTACAGTGCACAAAGGATTGCAACTCTCCAGAAGCAGATCTGCCAACGAGGAGAGGCCAGGAATCATGTTCCACTCCTTGTTCCACATCAGGGCACTGATGCTGTCAGAGCTGCTGCTCAAAAGAATATGGAAACTGCCAGCTTTCTTTGGGGGAGTCTAATATCCTTCATTTAGCCCAGAAAGATCACAAGATCCATTCATCGTGACAGGCACACGTGTACAGCGGCTGTGAGCACTTCAGCACCGAGTGCTCTGAACAAGACTTAGTCATGCAAAACAAGACTTTCATAGCAGGCAAATGTTCCGCTTTGACTTTGTTGCCGAGTACAGATTTCACTCAGGCAAGAGCTGCAAATGTTACTTTTAAAGATGCACAGATGCACAAATAAAATGAGACTGTCTCAAATTTTAGATCAATAAATTTACACAAATAATGTACTATACATTTTATGCATGTATGCATTTTATGCAAATTATGCGCATGCAGGTTCCTTGTCTGAAGAGCGCTGGTCCTGGAGATCAATCGCTCGGCAGTGATTTAACAGAAGGCCCGGGTACTCCGAGCTTGGTTAACTCATGTTGCCCAGAGAATGACGTGTTCTGTTTCAGATGGTGCAGAGACACCAGGGAGCTGGGTCTGTGGAGGACAGGCCAAGACCAGCAAGGCACAGGGTCCAGACAGCGGCGCAGAACTGTCACGTATCTGATTCATGTCAGGGTTTCAGACTGCAGCCGGGAATCGCGCAGAAAAAACGCACAAGAAGCTGACCCAAAGCCAGGCGCTCTGCACGCCAGGCAGCCACAATCCAGCTGCTGCACGGGGGGGTACCGGCAGGTCCAGCCGGAGCAGCTCCGGTCCGCCAGCAGCGCGAAGCTCACATCCCATCAGGCCTGCCAACTCGCGGGCACTTCCTCTCCGTCCCGCTAAAGCCCGATACACTGAAGGCCCTGACTGCACAGCAGCTCCTGCAGTGGCCACCGTCTCTCCAGACTGCAACCCAATCAGAGCCGCTCCTTTCCAGGCCCCGCAACGGGCCAACGTGCCTGGGGCCATCCTTAGGGTGCAGCATGTAAAAAAACAACAACAACAACACTTTTTCGCAAGCGGCAGGTGTCCCGAGTCTGCAGCACGAAAGCGACCCGTACGTGCCCCTTCCTTTGTCCCCGTGATTGATGCTAAATGAAATCTGCTATTTCACATCTTCAAATGAAGGAGAGAAAAGGACATTTGAATGTTTTAAGAAGCATTTGTAAAAAGCCAGAGAGGCAGTAGGCTTCATTTCGGACCTTTTACTGCTTTTGCAATAGAGAGAAAAAGCGAAAACTGAAGACGGCGGCAATACCAAGCTATTACAATATCTCACTGGAAGTCATCAAAGTGGTGCCGTCCATTTCAAAGAAACATAAACCCTCTACATCGAGCGACGTTTAATATTTAAAAAAGGCACACAGGCCGTTGTGGCTTTTCTTGCAGCTGCAAAAGGATGGGATGTGTTCAAGTAACAGACACAGAGCGACTTCCCCTCTTGACCTCAGCGGCTCCAGCGGGCTCTGCCTGGCGTTACGTATCCAGATATGTATACCGTTGTTATTGCTCGTGAAGATGAACTACTTTTCTCAACATCAACGTGCAGTACTAGCGCTGCCCTCCAGAAAGCCTCTCTTAGAGGATTCTAATGGGGTTAAACGCAATGTTCAGCCCAGACACGGGTCCCAGCCACTCCGTGTGCTCCGACGCCTCACCTTTGTCACAGCGCTCGGCCTCGGGGGGTGGGGAGGGGTTCACCTGCTCTATTTTATTTTCATTCAGCAGCTCCTGCAGCGCTTCCCTCCTCCGAGCGGCCAGGAGCCCGTCACTGCAGGCAGGCCTGTGATGTCACAGCGACGGC